TCCAACCTGGGCGACAGAGCAACTGTCTCAAAAAATAAAAAATAAAAATAAAAATAAAAATAAAATACTGTGCCCTTCAGATATCCATGTTGTCAGAGTAATCTGTCTAAACTATTATTTTTCTGGTGTTTAAAATCCTTCAAGTTCTGTCACCTAAACAAAAGCTCCTTAGGATTCTGTGATCTGTTTCTCATTTGTCCTTTCTTCTGTATCCCCCAAGCCTGCCTTTGCTCTCCATGCTCTTAGTCATTTGCAACCTCTTGCAACCACTGAATGTCATGATCTTTCTATACCTCTGTGCCTTTGCACATGCTATCCCTTCTCCCTAAGACATCCTCTCTTAAGCTACAAAGACTTTAAACAAAACACCCCAGGGATCACCCCCTCCAAGCAGCTTTGCTTGAAAACCTGCACCCCTAGGCTGAGTTGGATGCCCTTCCTTTGTGTCTTTATCATGCCAGTTACATCAATCATTTGTGGACATGTCCATCTCCTTCATTATTTAAATAATTTCCATCTTGACCTGTACTCAACTAAGGCTTTGCAATGTCACTCAGTGGCTAAAAACAGGTTTGAAGTCCCAGAGCTGAGAACTACTATTTGGAATGATCACACAGATAAAACTGTGAGAGAGCCTGTCAAATAGTTACAATTTCATTTTGATGATATGTTCATTTTGAAAACAGAGGCACTGATATGAGACTAGGAAAGAAAATGTCATGAAGTTTCAAGTAGTATGTGAAATATAAATACAATAAAACTTTAAGTAGATATCCAACCACACGTTTTATTGGGGTTTTATTGCAATCTACTTTGGGCAGTAAGGGGAAAGTGAGCATGAAAAGAACTCCAATCAGACTTTATTCAACAAAGCAGCTTTTCATGAATGCTTCAGGTCCGTGTATGATCAGCTCAGCTTCCAGTATCAACTTGAGTACCTCATCATGGATATTTATGCTAGAATGACAACAGTAAGGCATTGCAAATTCCAAAGTCATCTAATATTAAACCATATTTTACATAATTTGTAGGACAGTATAATACTCTACAATAAATAACGATTTTAAAAAATGTGTTGCTTAGCCCTTGTTGAACTGAATTCAATTACTAGCTTATTCTAAGTACTCCAGTTAATAAACGTTTGATTGTACTTAAAGAACTCTGACTTCTCCAAAGATAAAAAAATTAGTTATTTGTCTTGACAAAAATTAAGCTTAAAAAGCACATTCACACACTTGTCCTTAAAAGCATGTTTACGTCATATATGAGAGAACTTTTCATGCCTGATGACATGGCTTATATGCAAAAACAGTCATATGCAAAAGACAACTAGAGGGCAATCGTCCCATCCCCACTTCCTCCAAAAAGCCACACTCGGCCTCAGTGTAAAAGTTATATTTTATTGCCATGCTACAAAATGTATGAAGTTGGCACTGATAGGGAGAAATAGAGAACAAAGGGTGGGAAGGGATAGAGGGCAAATTATGTTGTTACATATACAAGGTTTTATTTTAATTAACAGTGGTTACGTTTTGCCAATATTAAAAATGCAAATCAAAATTTAAAATGCTGATCTGAAACAGCATTAAGATACAATTTATGCATAGTACAGTATCACTTATGTCCTTTATTAGAGAAATATGGAATGTTTATAAAAGAAATTAACCATGGGGGTAAAATTCATATTTCATATACAATTTGGCAATGGTAGTCCCACTGTTAGACAATTTTTTATAAAAGAAAAAATTAAAAATCTAATAAGCTACCTTTATACAAAGTTGCTATATTTATGCCTTTACGTAGGAAAAAAACATTTATAATGCAAATGAGGACATACAATAATCTTACAATATTATACAATGTAATGAAAATAAAACATAACACAAAGTTTGTCCTTTATAAAATGTATATTTTGCATTACTAATGCAAATGTGGCACACTGGTGACTACTGTACTATTAATACCAGTCTGTTTCCATGCTATAATTGTCCAATTGCCATAGAACTGCAATTATAATGATGCTACAAAAGAACTGTGTTATACCCCAAAAAAATGAGGAAGTAGGGATGGGGAACAGGGATGTAAAGAACAGGAAAGATAGATAGGGGGCTGGTTTGGGCAGAGTATACTGTGGTATGTCATAAAATATTTGTTAATTTTTCAAGCCAAAAACATTTTCTTTACATTCTGTAATTTCGTACCAATGCCTTTATTCAAATTTGGCAAACATCAAGGAAAAGGTAATTAGTACCATATACCTCACACATCAGAAATATGAATGAGATGCCAATACATCAGTTACTTGTGAATGATGTCTCTGATGGTATGTCTACTTCAAGAATATATGTATTTATACACACACACTACACATTGCACAAAACATTTGGGCATTATAGGTTAGGAATAGCACAGGGGGAATTGGGAAGTACTTTTTCATCTGTTAAAACCTTTACCTTGAGGCAAAAATATGGTGGCACATTGTTGGGAAATTATGAAAACATAAGGCCCCTGTCCCATTTTTAATAGAACATTATTGAGGTACATTTTTATATGCTGTGCCACAGTTTTGGGGAGGGGAAGGAGATTAACAAACACTAGCTTGACTTGTTCTATTTATAACATTGAACGGTGGAGAGGGTCAACATTAGTATCTATAAAAACAAAGATTGCTTGGCAAATTTTCCTAAGTCCCAGATGTGATGTATTCTGGATATACTGGGAAGTGAAAAGCTTTTTGCTGAATCTTCAAGAGTAAAGTGCATATCTCATCACTCCACAGCAGCAGTAAATAAAAGGAACTATTTGCCAGTCTTCCTGGAGGGAGGGAAGGCACCATATTTTCATTTTTAAAATAAGATGAAACTGGGAAATAAAACACATTAAGAAAAAACACAAGTAATACCAATATCAGTTTCCAACCCTGGCATGGGATAGATGCTGTTATGATTTATATGGATAAAACAGTATTCTATTTGGAGGGAAAACATTAACAATGATTATATTTCCAAAACCAAAAAGAAGGATCACATGGTCTACCAACAGAATTATCTAAAATTAGATCTGCCTCAGAAAATCTGAGATATATGGCCATAATTATATGCTAATAAAATATTAATATTTCATTCTAAAATGCACCCAGTAATAGGTACATCCTTCCAGGACACAGCTTAATGCCCATTACTAAACTACTGCAAAGGACAAGTAGTATTCTAAATTACCTTTTATTAAATAGGAACACAAGTGATTTCTAGAAGACATCTAGAAATTAACACCAGTTGTATTATATCTTCCTAATACTCTTATAGTACCTAAAATCAAATTCTTAGCAAATTGGTCCCATTTTCATTTTTAAAGCACACAGTATTTAAAGCATAAACTGTAATGATTATATTGGAGTTATCTAAAAAATAAAAACTAATTAGAATCCGGAGGAAACAATGAAAAGGATGACGGAAAGAATAAAGTATCCAACCTCCAAAATGAATAAATAGATCAGCCCTTTCATTTGGAGATTAATGTTCTGCCTTGACTGGTTGTTTCAGAAAAAACTATGTGCATTGGTTCCATCATAATTCTTATTCCACATTACAAAAACTATTACATAAATTTGGCACAATTAGCAATTTACTCAGAAGAAAGGATAGTGGAACAATGTATTAAAAATGGAACCTGCATCACGGAAACTGCACACCTATACCACTGCTCTCTTTTAAGGGAACAGTGAACACTTTAATAAGCACCAAGTTCACAAGGGAACAAAAGGGGGAAAAGAAAATTCTGCTATGCACATAGAATGATAAAATACACTGATATTGATTTATAATAAAGACACTAAAATGGCACTGAAAACGATAAAGACACCTTTAATAATTTATTTTCTTTATAATGATCCCACTCTATTGTTCTCCTAATCCATCACTGTCCTATGATTCGGTTATTTACTGAATAGGTTGGATGCTAATATGACTAAAACTTTTTCATGCTAAATTAACCTTAGTTATATCTGGTAGATCCAGATCATAATCTCAAACTTCCTCATATTTAGAGGAAATAGTAAAATATTTTGCAAGGTTACCTAACCTTTTTCCACTCTACCTTCTCTCATATTCTCTAGTGTTTAGGAAATTGGAACATCTTTGATTTTCCAAGAGTTTGACATATGGAGACTCTTCAGTTTATATAAATTTTAATTCATTTTAATGCTAAATTATGATACAATCTCATTGCTACAAGACTTCCACTGTACCTGCTATGCTGGCAACAATATTAATATTTCATGGAAATCAAAGGATAATCAAAGATCCCGCTACAAGTAAAAGGACAGCAGAGCTGAGGAACACTAGAGTGGGCAGAGTACAACTGCAGCGTGTAGCTGGGGGAATTACTGCTAAAGTGCTGGGGAAGAGTGCCCACAGAGAAAACACGGTACACCTTGAGGGAACTTTGCATGTTAAAAGTATCTTCCTTTTTTTCTCAGTTGCTAAAGAGATCACCTATGGACACAAGTAAATTTAGAATTGAGAGAATTTTTTATCAACTTGAAAAGTAAACAGCATATAAATAAATACTGGACAAGGGCAACCCTGTTATAGAATAACAGTAAGTTCCAAATGAACCTTCAAAACCATAATTTGACAAAAATGCAAACTAAACAACAATGAACACATAATCCAATTTCAAAACTATATACAAACTCAAACATTTTAAATTGAAAAGGACATAAAGCAACAAAATAACACATCCCAAACACCAAAGAAAAAACTGAAGATAAATGGAAACCTAATGGCACAAATGCCTCCAGAAAACAATGTTTTGTCAATAATCTATAGGAGAAAAACTTTCAAGAGATTGTGGTTCAGATTTTCAAATGTTTTTGGGTAAAGTGACCTGAGACTGATTCTTGAGCCTATTATAATTCTGAGTAAGATATGTGGACATGCCCTTCAAATGACATCATGAGATGAGTAAATAGAAAATCTTGTCTCCTTCTTGCCTTTCAGTGCACCAACAGCAAACCATACTCATGGACACAGGCTGCTTTCTAGTAACACTGAAGACAAAGGAGCTGACTGGTGTAAGAGGAGGTGTGGTACTTGTTTCCTTTACATATGTTTTGGCTCAAGTAAAAAAGCCTTTAATTAATGAAATAAAGGATTCCTCATGTTACATGCTGGAGGCCACATACTGTGAACACTGAATCTACGAGCATTACTTTCAAAGCCTATAGTTATCTGTTAGCAATGCACATTGTCAAGAGGCTTTATAAAAAGTTTTAAAAGCCAACTATGACTTAGACATGAAAGATATGCGTTAAGTCCAGAATATTGATAAAAATCAACCAGCATGTCATTCACTTCAACTCTCATTTTAAATAGGCACTGTGAAAACAGGAATGCTGCTGTACAACGAGTAGTATATAATGAAATTAGTGTTCTTTAAGGAGTACCTGCTCTACATTAATTCCCTTTAGTTAAAGATGCACATGAAATACTCAGAAAAAAATTTTATCAGTCTATAAAAGGAGTTAGTATTTAGAAATGAAAATGAAGTACTTGCATCTTCATTTTTAAAAACTTCACAAAGGTGCAAACAACATAATGCTTTCCAGGCTCACATGGGCAGATCAGTACTATTGTGTCTAGTTTTCCTAGATGTACCATCATCTCGTGGCAGTGCTTTCTGCAAATTTGACATAGCAGCAGTTCTCTCGATGTCTATCACGGCATACAGCTCTGTGCGCCTGGTAGGGGTTTGTGGAAGGGGAGTCGTAGGCGTTTTTGGAGTCTGAGGGTTGTCAGAGTCACTGCCACCTTCCAAGTCAACCTGTATGTAATTAAGCTGCCTGTGTTCTAAACTTGGGCGTCTGATATCAAAGTTAAAGACTGTAGGTGTACAGTCCCGACGCCTTGAATATTCTATTTTGTGAGCACTTGCCGGCACTGTTACATTCTCTGTATTTACATAGTTATGCATTGGATCTAGATTATTATGGTAGCCATTTAGAGATGGGGTCTTTGGTCCTAAATTGTCATCTTCATCCCTACTTAGCTTGCGGGCTTCCCAAACAGGAGGCAAAGATGGTAGATTTTCATAGTTTAATAATGCAGTTCTTCTCTGAGCTGAGTTGTTGATATTCTGGGTATCTGAGGTACTGGTGGATGTCAGACGACCTCTCCTGACCCCTGAGGCACTAGGGATAGATAGCCCATTTATATTTTCATACACCAGTTTGTTAACAGAGGGTGCATCTCTTCGTTCATCACTGTCATAGCCAGTGTCCCATTCTGTGTTATTTGCTCCACTTCCACTAACTTGATCTCTTCCAAGTTGCTCCAATTTCTCTTTTTCCATTAATTGCTTTTGAACAGGCGTTGGCCCTAAAACAAATTTGACTCCTTCAGGTTCAAGAAGAATCTGAGGATCCCTGTCCTCAATACTACTTGGTTCTTCTTTTGGTGTGTTGCTTTCAGCGTTAGAAACCCTCGCCTCCAATGGAACATGCACACTTGTGCGGTTTTTCCGCTCTTCTTGCACACCTGTAGTGTTGACATAGGTATGTACCTAAAACAAAACAGAAAGTGAATTAATTTACTTAAAAAAACAAAACTGAAAAAAAGCCTGACCACATCAGTTAATTTTATTAACTTTCTCTCCAAATGTACTCTTACTTCAAAACTTTTGCAACTATTTTTTTATTAATAAAAAGGTGGAAAGAGAGAATAAATGTAGAAATGTCTTCCTAATTTGATAAAAGAGTAATGACTTTAAAATAACATGCAGGCTGGGTGCAATGGCCCACGCCTGTAATCCCAGCACTCTGGGACACTGAAGCGGGTGGATCACTTGAGGTTAGGAGTTCGAGACCAGCCTGGCCAATGTGGTGAAACCCCGTCCCTACTAAAAATACAAAAATTAGCTGGGCATGGTGGTGAGCGCCTGTAATCCCAGCTACTCTGGAGGCCGAGGCACGCAAATCACTTGAACCCGGGAGGCAGAGGTTGCAGTGAGCCGAGATTGCACCACTACATATCAGTCTGGGCAACAGAGTGAGGCTCCATCTCAAAAGATAAAGTAACATGCGACATTATATTTGATTGTTAAACATGATAATTATGCAAAAAATAAAAATCAGGAACAAAATAGGGATTATCATTTTGCTGCTGTTGTAGAGGTTCTCAAAGCATTAAAATATGATCCAGAAATAAATAACAACTTTGAAAAGAGATAAATTTATCCTTATTTACTGATGATCTGACTATATAAGATAAACTCTACTAGATTTAATAAGAGTTCTGTAAAATGCATAGATATAAAATAAATGCCACCTAGTAAGAAATTATCACTATTTAGAAAAGCTTAATGGTATTTTGGGGAGATAATATAAAAATATTTAGAAGGGCCGGGCGCAGTGGCTCACGCCTGTAATCTCAACACTTTGGGAGGCTGGAGCAGGTGGATCACTTGAGGTCAAGAGTTCAAAACTAGCCTGGCCAACACAGTGAAACCCTGTCTCTACTAAAAATACGAAACAATTAGCCGGTGTGGTGGCCTGCGCCTGTAATCCCAGCTACCTGGGAGGCTGAGGCAGAAGAACTGCTTGAACCCGGGAGGTGGAGGTTGCAGTGAGCTGAGATCACGCCACTGTACTCCAGCTTGCGCGACACAGAAAGACTCACGTAATTACAGTAAATAAGAACTCATTATGTACAGAACACAAAGAAACTGATTTTAAAAACACTAAAAACTTTTTAATATGACATATGGTTTACAAAACATAAGTATAACTAATTAATACAGAGGTTCCAACCAGATACTTCATTCCACACATGAAAACTAGAATAGTCGGGAACACTAAATAACTCCGTAACATTAACAGCAAAATCTACCTTCCTACTAGTAGTTCACTGACTGCAACGGCTAAAATATGAAAAGCAGCATAAACTCTTAATCCATTGGACGTTCTTATAATGGGAACTGACCATTAGTTATGCCTTTCTTAATCTATAGATGTACCTCTTCTGTGAACCCACAAGCTACTGTAATGCTAAGTTCCCCTGAATGCCTGCATATATTTGAGCATAAGCCAGCAAATATATGCTATTTCCTCTGATTGTTCACTACAAAAGTAATTTACAAACAGATAAACTTCAAGCTGAATAAAATCGTCTAGTTTTAGCACAGTGGTACCCTGACTCTGAACAATCATTATTGCTGTTACACCGGAGCATATGCTTACTTGTTCCTCAGCCACAAGCAAAGGATGTGTAGATTCTTCCCCTACTGAAGGCAGGCGAGCACTTCCCACAGAAGGATGTCTGCTTGAAGGATGGGATGAAGCATCTCCAAATGAGGGATATCGGGGATATCCATTAGGTAAGTTCTGAGCAGCAAATCCTGGAGCTGAGTTTTTTTTTAATTGGTTTAAGGAAAAGGGGGGTGGGGGCAGAGAGAATAAAAATGATTAAGAATCGAATCTGTACTGAGAGGATTATAAGAGGTCTTTCTGCCAAGACAGCAGAAATCAGAGCACAAATAGTATTACTCCCACTCCATATTTTAGATAATATGAAATACTAAATGTTTTCATTTTTAAAATATTTGAAGTACATAGAACTACAGCTTTTTTTTTTTTTTTGAGATGGAGTCTTGCTCTGTCGCCCAGGCTGGAGTGTAGTGGCGCGATCTCTGCTCACTGCAGGCTCCACCTCCCGGGTTCATGCCATTCTCCTGCCTCAGCCTCCCAAGTAGCTGGGACTACAGGCATCCGTCACCACGCCCGGCTAATTTTTTTGTATTTTTTTAGTAGAGACGGGGTTTCACCGTGTTAGCCAGGATGCTCTCGATCTCCTGACCTCATGATCTGCCCACCTCAGCCTCCCAAAGTGCTGGGATTACAGGCATGAACAACCGTGCCCGGCCTACAGCTGTTTTTAAAAACTGACAACTATTATACTTCTGTTATCCAACGGTGATTTATAGTGTGTTATTGACTAAATATCCATAATCTGTATCTTACAACTAAATGTCTGTTATTCAAAATGTGAGAGGGAAAATGGGTACCTACTTGTAGGTGTTCGAGGTGTTCTAGGGACTTCCAATTCTGTCTGATGATTATTCCTTTCTACAACTGGCTCTTCCACCACATTTATACTATTATTTTGCATAATCTCTTGCAACATGTTAAATAATTCTTCTGCACGGGCACACTTAAAGGCAAAGATTCCTACAAATATAAACCAAAAGGGAAAAATAGTTAACATACCTTTGGAAAAACTATGGGAACACTTGACAAAGAGCAGAATTGTAAAGTAAGCATTCTATGCGCCAAGAGTAAGAAATCCCTTTAAAATAAATATCTGATAAATTAATGATTATTCCCTGTTTCAAAACAAGCCCCCGCCAAAAGTTCACAGAATAATTTTCATTCATCTAAGGGAGATGGCCCAAAACAAAGCTGATGAAATCAAGACCTGCACACTTAAGGCTCGTCTGTTTCTAAACAGCAGGGGGAGCCCAACTCACTACTCCAAGGTGATCATCTGCCATGTAACAGGCCCCTTGGAAAGTCCCTAGGTGTTTTCCAATTGCTATCTTGTTTAATTATTACAATAATTATAAGATAGGTATTACCATTTCCCTGTTATAGAGAAGAAATTTAACATTCAACAGAAGTCCTGTAACTTGTCAAGGCCATTCAAGTAATAGGTAGTAAAAAAATCAATGATAAAGACATTTAGTCAATTTAGCAGGCCCAATCATTTACTGAAAAATCTTAAAGGTAACACGAGCCAAAACTTCTCACATAGACAATGTGCTTAATAAACACTTGATAAATGAATACATAGTATACTATATCTTTTCTTAACAATCTGCTTATTTTGGGATTTTCATAAGAAAAATATTAATCTTTATATACAGAATAGCTGAAAGAATAATATTTCAAATATAATAATTGGAAAAAAAAAACAAAGATTCTACCTTGTCCAGTTTGACACCTTCGACCACTTTCAAAAGAAAAGAGATTCGAGTCATAGCCATAGCGTCGCAGGCAGAGGTAGTGCCATTTTACTGAGTCACGTTTGCGGGTGTATAAAATCAGTTCTGTGTCTGTAAGTTCCATTATGCCAGAACCTAACTCATTCCCATCATCATCCACATTAATGACCTAAAAAAAAAAAAAAAAAGGTGACAGTCGTGCAAATATTTCACCAATTCGTCAGGAAAACGCATTGTTGCTAGTTAGTTATTTGTAATTTGTTAGTTCATTCATCAACCAATGTGTGTGTCAGGCATGGACTATGTAGCTGTGTAACACCCAGTTCAGATCTGTAAGAAATTTACATTTCCACTGGGGAAACAAAACATACAAACACAAAACAGTGTATGATTAATTGACAAATGAATGCAACAGCAGCTGCAGAAGGCAGGAAATGTGGCCTAAGGTTGTTGAGACACCTTCATGTAAGAGGAGGAGGGCCTTTAGCTGGACCACTAGTATAAATAAATTGACACAGAAAATAAAATCAAGGGGGAAATCTAGTGGGTCAGGAGATAAAGGGGACATCATAAAAACACAATGTTAAAGCAGAACAAAAAAGTACCTTTCAAAGAGACCAAAATAGATTGGCACAGAGTTCATATAAGGAAAGGTTTAGTACTGCTGAGCTTCAGAAAACGTCCAAAGACTAGAGCAGTAGATAACATTTAGGGAGAAGTTACTATTCCCCGGGAGTGGGAGAAGAGCTTTATATGTATTTTTCTCATTTAACCCTCATAACAATCCTAGACTACATTGTACAAAAATGGAACTAAGACTCAGTAATAATGTAACCTGCCCAAGGTCACAAAGCTTATAAAGTAACAGACTTATACTAGGTTTGTGTGATGAAGGCTACTCTTTATAACAGATCGAGGTCAGACTATCAGACACAAAACAGCTATAGGAGCATTTAGCCTATAGATAAAATAACACCACAGAAGTTTTAGCAAACAGGTTAGCAAATGATGAAAGAAGATTAATTTGATGGTGACTACAGGATGAATCAGAGGGTGACTTGAGGTAGAGTCCAGTTAAGAAATCCCACAGGCATGCATTAAAATAATAACTGAAAGATAGTGATGAGATTGAAAAGGCACCCTGTAAAATGGCATTTTAAAAACAGTGTTACCACAACAGTGTGGCTAATTAGATACAGAGGACCAAAGGAAAACTAAAAAAAAAATTCCATACTGTAAGAAAATGTTGTCATTGTTTATTAAATCAAGAAAGACAGGGTGGAAAGAAAGGGAAATAGAAGGGTTTGGCGATGAAAGCCAGGAATAAGATTTTTTTTTTTTTTCTTGAGACAGAGTCTCGCTCTGTCGCCCGGGCTGCAGTGCAGTGGCATGATCTCGGCTCACTGCAAGCTCTGCCTCCCGGGTTCACGCCTTTCTCGTCCCTCAGCCTCCCGAGTAGCTGGGACTACAGGCGCCCGCCACTAGGCCTGGCTAATTTTTTTTGTATTTTTAGTAGAGACGGGTTTTCACCATGTTGGCCAGGATGGTCTCAATCTCCTGACCTCGTGATCCGCCTGTCTCGGCCTCCCAAAGTGCTGGGATTATAGGCGTGAGTCACCGCACCCAGCCTAAGATATGTTAAGTGAAATAAAGAACACCCAACTAGGCAGTAAGATATATAACTCAACCAGTTTTACTGACCTTAAACTTGTTCCGATGGTTATCTGGGACAGTGTCTTTATCTGGACAGCTACAACAGCTACCCATGGCTTCTTCAGAAGACCATGTGTGCACTACATGAAAAATGATTTGGAAAATGTATTAGATGAAGGATACAACAACTGTAAACAGAAAAAGACTTTAGAAATAATCTAACACAAACATTCTGATGCAGAAAATTAAGTCCAACAAGGTATATGGCTGCAGCTAGATTTTATACAGCTAGCTAGTTGATTTTACTCAGTAATAATGAGAATAAATTTTGTGAGGCATTAATACTGTCACACAAATCTCAAATTTCTAGTTAAATTTGCAAAGGTCACCTATTCTAAAATCATCTAAAAAACAAACCAACTTAAGGTCTCATATATATTATTTAAATAATTAACTTGTGTTCAAGAGTTAATGAAATTAACCCTTTGTGGCTTATCAGGAATTTCACATCCTTCTTTAAAGAGGGAGAGAGAAACAGAGAGACAGAGACAGAGACAGACAGGCAGGCAGGCAGACATTATGTTGCCCAAGGCTGGGCTCAAACTCCTGGGCTCAAGTGATCCTCCCACCTCAGCCTCCTGAGTAGCTGGGACTACAGGAGTGCCAGGCCTGGCTTGTTCTTCTTTAAATAAAAAATCACCGAAAGGATGGTAAACTTCTGGCTTGGCAGGTATTTTGACTGTTGTTACTCATTGTAGTATCTTTTATGTCTCCACAAGACAAGAGTTCATTGGTAATTAAAACAAAATCAAATTTCGAATAGTTCATTGGTAAGGGGGAAAGACAACTTAAAATTAAGCAGTAAAGTAACACACAGAATACTGGCAAAACTGATACAGCATGTCTATTTAATACTCCTTTCCCATAGAAGGAGAGAGAAGTCGTTATACACCTGACATTGAGTGTTTAAGAACACTCCAACTAAGCAGATAAAGAAAATGCCAAAGCATCACTTACAAGTAAGGGAAATAATCAGATAGAATATGACAATATATGAAAAAAGGAGGAGGGAAGGAAGCACAGAAGCTACAAAATATTACAAACATAAATTTGATTGAAGCTTGTTGAAAATTATTCAGTGGCTCTCTACTATCTTCAGTTTAACAGTATAAACTCTTCAGTATGACAGATCCGATCAGATGCAATGTGATCCCTGTCTACAGATCTAGTCTAGACTCTCCCTGCTCTGTTTCAAGCCCTATTCTTAGTCCCGTCAGAATAAACAAGGTGTGGTTTCCCCACAGCATCTTGGTCTCTCACATCCTTCCAAGCTGCTCCCTTTCTGCTTCTTTCCTTTCTCAAGATTCAACTCAAAGTGCAGTTCCTCTAGGATGCTTTCCCTGACTCCAAGCAACTAGGCAAGTTATACTTACTATGTATGACCATCATGCATATGCTACCCCAAAGCACCCTGGGATTCCTAGTATCATAGCATCTATCCCACTTTGTACTGAGTAGAAATTGTGGCTAGTGTCTGTTTATCTGTCTTCTTTCCTCCATTGTGAGCCTCTTGCCAGCAGGGATGAACCTTACTCATTTTTACATTCCTAGTACCTAACACAATACCTAGCATATAGTAGGTGCTATAGGACCTTTGTGATTTAAATGGACTGTATTAAACAAATGTGAAGGATCCCTAGCAGGTTTAAGTATTAAAAAGATGA